ATTTTAATTTAGGTTTAATAATATAATTTTTATATAGATAATAATTAAGTATTCTGTTAGAACTTAATAATTATTCTAATTATATTTTAGATTTTTAATATTTAAAATAAGATGTTTATCCAATATTTGATTATGTTTATCTGTAGTTAATTACATGAATTCAGGTATGAAGCTTTAATAAGTTGTATATATGCACAATTTACTTAAAATCTTAACTTTTAAATAATATGCATCAATAAATAGTACTTTGTGCATAAAATGGTTTTTAAAAGTTCTTGTCAAATGTTTTATAATATAGTATAGATAAATTTTTGTTAGTTGAATTTATGAGTTAGTACGAGAAATTCTATTAATTACTACTTGATTGCTTAATATTTATCTTTATGGTCAGTCACAGGTTGAGACCTAGGTGCTGTTTATCCAAATGCTTACCTAGTAAGCGTTTACCGCTTGGAGTTAATACTATAATCTACTTTACTAGGTAAGATTGTAGTACATTAAAATAGTATCGTATGTAACAATTTATCCGGTAAACTCTTACTTGGGTAAGAGTCGTCACCCTCACTTACCGAGTAAAAACTCTCAATCCTCATCATCGTTCTTACCGGGTAAGATGTTCGGTTCTTGCGTTGCGACGTTCATTAGATGAGAAAAATTATCCAATAAACATTTATCAGGTAAGCGTTTAGTAAACGACCCCTTATAAATAATGTGTTAAATTGATAATTCATTTTTGATTATTTATATAGATATCTTGTAAAATATAAATTAAAATTCCTTGTATATTATACAATACATGAATGATTTTTATTTTTATTTTATTTTATTTTTTGAAAAATTACTTAATTGTCTCTTGTTATATATATATATATATATAAATTTATCGGTTAATTAATATCTCATTAATTAATAAATTTTAGGGTTCTTAATGACTGATTTAATAGAGTTACAATTGTATGTAAACATTCCCATTCCAATTATTTATTAACCAAGTGTGTAATTGTATAACATAATAAGATTGATTTTTCTTTTTGTAAACTGAAATGAAATAATAACGTAATTTTCATCAAAGAAGAAAATCTGAAACTTATGGAATATTCTATCATATTTAATGTCTATCTTGCATGTGAACGGTTTTTTACAACTATGGGTATCCAGGCTAACTTACACGCAATGATCAATCCTCGAGGGATTGCGAATGACTTGAAGTCGTCACAAGTGAATCTTCATAGTACAAGGGCTTTTGGCGACAAGTAGATTCGATTCCAATAGTTCGTTTTATGGAGTTCAAACGTGGAACTTTGAAAAATTATACGTATACAATAATAATTGTTAATAAGTAATACTATATCTATACTATCTTATAAAGCATTTGGCTAAAACTCTTAAAAACTCTTAAACTCGTTCATCTCTATCCGATTTCATCCCATATCTGAATTTGTATAACTAACTGCAGATAAACACAATCAAATACAGGATAA